TTGGGAACATTTCTTCAGGTAGAAGCCTGTCTTTATTGGCTAAAAGAGGCTAAATGGTTCTTGTGGTTTCCTTTTTGGAGACCATGATTCTCATTTTTCCCTTCCTTGGAATAGGTGTCTTTTTGGGTGTCCCTTTGGTTAAAGGCACTTAAGTTTCTAAAAAGATTATTAATGGTCTGTTTCGTACAGAGATTAGCTGACGGCCATCTCTTAAGCATAGTTTCTCCATTTCTTTTACTTTTGTTTTCTTTCTTTATGGAGGATATTAGTCCTTTGTGATTGCATATCTCTCTGACTATTTGTAATAGTACTTTTTTAACATACAAAAATGATTGTAACTCATGTGAAGCTTGTAAAAGCCGAAAAAATTTGCTGGCTACACACTAATTGCTTAAAATAAGGTATATGGTATCAGATAAAGAAGCAAGAGTTTGATTACAATATTAAAATATCCATTTAGCTAGCTACAGCCTCGTTCTTGGTTCTTAGAGAATACTTTGCACAAGATAGAGGGCCTTGCATGTTTCTTATGTTGGATTTTTGGGGGACTTTGATTGCTTTGTAGTAGTTTTTAAGTTTGCAGGTCGATCTGCTGTGAACTTAACTGATGATACTAGCAGGATTTTTAGGAAGTTAGATTGATTATGAGATTATTACCAGGTGTCTGGGAGTTATAGAGGAAAGAGAAAAGGGCTAGGTGAAATCACCTTGTCCTTGAGGTTAGTGGGTCTTGATATGTGATGTGCCTTTTAGCCATGTTCATAGCATATTTGAAGCCTACATTAGAGAAAGCACAAATCGAAAATATGGCATGAGCCCTTCTCCACCACCCTAAAGCTTGGGGTGGTTGTTTCCTTCTTCAGTGCCAAATGCTTTTCTTGGGTTTTGAGTTACTGATCATGAATCTTATATATATTTATTTCCTGAGAAGGTGAATGCTCCTCCTAGGACTAAGGATGTTCTTTTCAACTATTGCCTCTAACCAGGTTAACAGTAATGACTGCTTGAGGCCTGCATACCTAATCAGGTATTCTTATCATATACTTCCATAACTCTGGGTCCCATAGCCATCTGCATCTTCCCTGCAATGTGGCTAGGAGGCTTTGAACTGGGTGCCTTGATACCTTCGGTGGGAGTTGGGTTTGCCTCTTTGCTTGAAAGTTTCATCACCTCTTCTGTGCATGTTTGGTAGAAAGAAGGGGCAGACAATGTTATGAGAGGGATTATTTTTGTTTGTTTGTGGGTTTTGTGCTGGTAAAACAATGCCAGTCTTCAAAGATCATTTCAATCTTCCTCATTGCTACAGACAGAGTGGTGTTTCCAGCTTCATTTGGATTTATGGTCATGATATCTTCCAAAGGTTCTCTTTACCTATTTTTCCAAGGTTATTGTGCAGCTATCTTGTACTTCAATCTGCTTGTTTTCTTGTTCTGTGTCTGTGATGTTGTAGAAGGATATTGTTCCATATGTCTTTTCTCCTTATTTCTCTATAATATTGTTCTTTATGTAAAAAGAAAGCATGTGCATCTTTGTAAATTTCATTCATCCATTTTTGAAGAATGGTTGTTGACCTGTTTGGCTGTTAGGCGGGGTAAAAACAAAAAGCTGAAGATTGAAGGAATATCTTTCTGATTTTCAATACATGAGAAGTTTGGTGTGTTTGATTTATTAGGTGAAGTAAGATGCATTACTCACATCCCTACTTCAAGACTTTTTGTTTCTTACGAGTGACTTGAAATGTTGGAGGGATGACGATTGCCCTTCCTATGATTAATCTGCCAATATACTACTTTCAACTTTATGATTTCTATCTAATGTGAATTGATTACATAATCTCCTCAGATTTTCTAGGCCTTTTGAGTTTGACAACATTTCTTGATGTAAAGGGTTAGGGAAGAAAAATAGTGAATAATTCTTGTGTTATTATTGAAATGAGAAGTAGGGATATATATACATGTAAACAGATTCATATATGGTAACCAACATAAATTACCCTAATTATTTTCTTTATAATTACGCGTATATATTTAGAAAGATAATCATATTATTACGTATAGAGAATGTTTTATAATATTCTAATACTCTCCCTCAAGTTGGAGAATAGATATTAATCATGTTCACCTTATGCCGAAGATATTCAATCTGTTTTCCATTCAGAGGTTTTGTGAATATATCACTAAATTATTTTCTTGTCTTTACATAACTAGTAGATATAAAATTTTGTTGAATCTTTTCTTGGAGAAAGTGACAATCAATGTCAATATATTTAGTTCTCTCATGATATACAGGATTTTGAGGCAATATGAAGTGTAGCCTGATTATTGCACCAGAGTTTTGTAGGAGATGTGGACTTCAAACCCACTTCATCTAATAAATGATTTATCCATAAGATTTCGCATGTGGACTGAACCATAACTCTATATTCGGACTCTGCACTTGAGCGAGATACAACTGTTTGCTTCTTATTTTTTCATAATATGAGATTCCTACTAGCAAAAATACAATAGCTCATAGTAAACCTCCTATCAATATTAGATTCAGCCCAATCAACATCTGTAAAACATTTAATGTGAGTGTCCTTTATTTTTGAATACTATGTCAAACCCTGAGACACCTTTTAGGTAGCACAAAATCTGTTCCAAAATTCTTAATGTTTGACTGTAAGTGCCGATATAAATTGGTTAACAACACTGACAGAATATGTAATATTTGGACGAGTCACAGTAAAGTAATTTAATTTCCTAACAACTCGCCTATATTTCTCTGGATCATCAAGAAGATCACCATCATCTTTAGTAAAATGTACATTTTGTACCATTTGTGTATTGCATGGTTTAGCTCCCAACTTTTTTGTTTGTGCAAGTAGATCAAGTACATACTTTTTTTGAGATAACAGAATCCATTTCTTACTTCTTGTTACTTCAATACCCAAGTCTTTGGTATTGAATTTGGTATGCAAAAATGACTTGAGAGAGTATATTCTTGCAGGGTCATCTCCTGTAATCACAATATTATCAATATAAACAATAAAAAGTATAATAACAGTTGTTAATTGTATATAGAAAACTGAATGATCACACTTGCTTTTTTTCAATTCGAATTCACATACTACCTCACTAAATTTGTCAAACCACGCACGAGGACTGTGCTTCAGACCATACAAAGATTTATTCAAATGACAGACTTTCCTATACTCCCATTGAGTAATAAACTTAGGTAGTTGTTTCATATACATTTCTTCTAAGAGATCACCATGAACAAATACATTTTTAATATCCAACTGGTGTAAGGGCCCATCTCGGAAAGCCGCAATAAATATGAATAAACGGATAGAGGTAAATTTAACCACTGGAGAAAATATATCAAAATAGTCCACCCCATAAATTTGAGTATAGCATTTCGTTACCAGTTGAGTTTTAAGTTTTGCCACAGAGCTATCTGCATTCACTTTGATTGGAAATACCCATTTGCACCCTACAACATTTTTTCCTTTGAGTAAATCTATTAGATCCCAAGTATGATTATCATCAAGAACATTTATCTCCTCAAGCATAGCATTATGCCAATCAGGGTGATTCAGAGCTTCTTTAACTGTTTTGGGTATAGAGGTTAAATTTATAAAAATAATTAAAGTACTAAACGAATGAGACAGATTGTGATATAATATAAAATTAGCAATTGGATAAGTTGGTGTAGGAATGTTGCACTGAAATTTACCTTTATGAAGACCAATGGAAAGATTAAGGTCCTATATGGCAGAATCAGATGATGACGGATCTGAAACAGGACATGTATCATCAACTTGTTATCTTATGGAATAAACATGAACAATTGGTGGTGGTACTTAGGTTAGAGGCACACGAACATTATCGTCAATTTGCTCGAGTAGAGGTGGAGGTACAACATCTGAAGGAGTACTTTTATTTGTTTGGTCAGTAAAGGCACTTGGTATGAAGTTATAAATGAACCACTTGTTGTTCGCTTCTGAACTTGTAGACTTGGACGATGAGGAGAAGAACGACATATTCTTTGAAAAAACCACATCAGTTGATACCAAATATTTATTGAGATCTAGAGAGTAATACTTGTATTCTTTCTAGAGGCGAGAATACCCCAAAAATACACACTTCAAGGCTTTTGGGTCCAATTTTGTCACAGTAGATCGCACATCTCGAACATAATAGGTGCTACCAAATATCTTATGCTGTATTGGAAACAAACATTTGTTCGAAAAAAATGAGACTGTAAGGAACATCCCCATCAAGCATCATAGATGACATACGATTAATTAAGAAATAAGTTGTAAAAACGATATCAGCTCAGAATTGTTTAGGGACTTGTGTTTGGAATAAGATGACTCAAGCTGTCCAAGTAAATATATGTTCTTCCTCTCAGCGATCCCATTTTGAGATGGTATATCAACACACGAGAATTAATGAAAGATCCTGTATTGAGTCATATAATTCTAAAATGAATCTGACATATATTTCTTGACATTATCACTCTTCAATACATGCACAAAAACATTGAATTGTGTATTGATTTCAACACAGAAAGTGCAAAAGTGAGAAAATACTTTTAAACGATTTCTCATAAAATATATCTAAGTCATGCGAGAACAGTCATCGACAAAGGTAACGAAATACTTGAACCCAGTTTTGGACAGAATAGGGCAAATTCCCCAAACACCAGAATGAATTAACTCAAAAGTAGATTCAGCTCGTCTATTGACCCTTGTACCTGATGGACTACGATGATGTTTTGCAAACCGACATAACTCATAATCCAGTGAGGATACATCATGAAACTGATAATATAATTTCTTCAACACAAGTAGAGATGGATGTCCCAATTGATAATGTGCTTCAAATGGAGAGATAATACTAGAGCAGACAACTGATCGAGGTACCAAAGTATTAAGAATGTGAAGATCATCTGACATATTTTCTTTACCAATAATCTGATTCATCATAAGATATTGAAGAACACAGTGATCAGGAAAAAATATAATACAACAATTCAAATCTTTAGTAAACTTACTCATAAAAATCATATTGAAGTCAAATTTAGGTAGACTTAATACAGATGACAGAGTAATAGATACTGTTGGTTTTGTGGTCCCCGAACCCACAATATTATATGTTGACCCATCAGTAATAGTTATAGAAATAAGTACTTTGTGTTGTCGAAAACTAAAAAAAATATTAAGTTTATCTATCATGTGATTTGTAGCATCAGAATCAATCACTCATCTATTTGAGGAGGAGATAAGACAATTTTTTTTTAATTCAATAAGAGTAGAAAATTTATTCAAAAATTCCTGATATTGAGTGAATTTAGTATACTCATCAGCTGAAATTATAACAGTTCTCTTAGTAAATGAACTAGTAGTAGCAACAACAATATTAGCAGTTTATGTCCTTTAATTGTAATTCTGTAATTTCTTACAGTATCGCTTTATATGTTTTTGTTCATGGCAGTATAGCAAACAATATTATCATTGATTTCAATTCAGGAATTACAAAAAAATATCACTTAGAATACCCAAATCACAACAGTCAGATATACCTGAAAAATACTACAAACATACCAGAAAATCTGAGAAAATAGAGGACCTCTTCATGCATGGGTATCAACAATGTTACTAGGACCTCATTGCCAACCATCGGAGTCCACGCGCCACTACCGTTGCTGCTAGAGTTACACACGCCGCTGCCTAAAACCATCAAACAGTCTCCTTTCAGCCGGAAATCATCACAGAACTTCAATGCCAGGCCTAATCCGGAATGGCGCTCGCAGAAACACCCCAAATCGCGTCAGAGAGCGAAGAATTGCTTGTTGTCTCGCGATTTGCTCCGCCGTGCCTTTTCCCTCTTCGGCCTTCTGGTTTCGTGTATAGAATTGGCCGACCTAACTCCTCTGTTGCCTCTATCCTCGAATGGGAGCCCAAACGCACAAGAATGCTCTCCTTCGGCTATCCCGCCGCATGCAGCCTCAAACCGTCGACAAACTGCTTCCTCTGCTTCTCCCGCGTGCACCACTGTGCTGGCTGCACTTTGAACTAGCCGGAGATTGGTGGTTGTCTTCCTCCGGTGCGATTTGACTCCTAAAATCTCAACTCTAATCTTAACTCTGATATCATGTAAAGGATTAAAAAAGAAAAATAGTGAATAATTCTTGTGTTATTATTAAAATGAGAAACATGGATATGTATACATATAGACGGATTTATATATGGTAATCAATATAAATTATTCTAATTATTTTCTTTTTAATTACGCTTAAATAGTTAAAAAGATAATTATATTATTATGTATAGAGAATATTTTATAATATTTTAACACCTGATATTCCTAATCCATCACCATATATGAGCAATATTATCACTTCACTTTCATTTGGAAAAAGGATTCTGATTGCTTTGTGCATCCCCTTTGAAAGTAGATTGATGAAACCAAACTTTCAGGGACGGACCAAAACCACTCTAAGTTTCAATGCTTAACATTAGAGGCTATTAGTGTACCACTTAAGAGAAGCATCCTTAAACACCCATGAGATAAATCCTGTGAATGAACTGTGCTAGTGGTCAGAGTTCATCTTGGAGCAGTATCTTTCTTTTTTTTTAAAAAAAGAAAAAAAAAAGAATAGAGGCAGTACCTTACTCTGCATGAGCTTCATCAAATTGTCTTCTTTTTGCCCCATTCCTCGTAGCTTTTCAGTCTAGTTTCCTACCTTTCAGTGGCTTGCATTTCCAATTCCAAGAGGAAAGTTGACATTAGAGTCAGATAAAAACTAAGTACAAGATTAAGGATAGCTGTAAAAATGATGGTTAAATTGAGGTGCATATATCATTAGAAGGTTAAATAGACTAAGCATTTAGAGGATACTAAGCAATATTTTTCACAGTCCTCATACCATTTCAAAGAATGTTGACTTTTCTGTTGATGCCATTCCAGATAGGTTCTCAAAACTCTGTAACAAGAGCTAATAGAGCATATAATGAGAGTGAATAATGTGGTGTTCTTATTAGCTAAAATGTGCAGATTTGAAGTTTAGTTGACCTTTTTCCACGAGGAAGTCTTATCTTTGTCATTTTAGGCTTCACTGTGATTAAAGTTTGGCATATCCTTTAAATAGTTTTTTTTAATGACTATTTTTAAACAATCTGAAGCCATCATATCCTTAGGCTGCAAGGAATGTTGGTGTTCCAGTAATTTTAGATGCTGGAGGAATGGATGCACCAGTGCCTCAAGAATTGTTGAATTTCATTGACATCTTAAGCCCCAATGAATCTGAACTTGGCCGCTTGACTGGACTGCCAACTGAGAGTTTCGAACAGATCAGTGAAGCTGTGGCAAAATGCCATCACATGGTAACTCAGTAGTTCATTTCGATGGCAACCTAGGTGTCTGCCGTAAGATTTTTGTAGTTTGCTTAACATTACAACTTGATTGAACATATTTGTTTTTCAGGGTGTTAAGCAAGTGCTAGTGAAACTTGGAGCAAAAGGGTCAGCTCTATTTGTAGAAGGACAAAAACCAATTCGGCAACCTATTATATCAGCAGCAAGAGTTCTAGATACTACCGGAGCTGGTGACACTTTTACAGCAGCTTTTGCTGTGGCTCTAGTGGAGGGCAAGTCGAAAGAGGAATGTTTGAGATTTGCTGGTATTCTCCTTTCGTCTTAAGATTGTATTATACACCAATTTGTTTATTTCTTTATATTTTAATGTAATCACAAACTTGTTGCACCATTTTTAACCTATGCAGCTGCAGCTGCTTCTCTTTGTGTTCAAGTGAAGGGAGCCATTCCTAGCATGCCTAATCGGAGATCGGTATTGGATCTTCTTGTTCAGTCTGCTTGAGTTTTTCCTAAACCGAATAAAGATTCGTTTTACATATAGATGAAAATCAAACATCTCTACTTAATTGTTCATAGAAGCCTGTTGACTATGTAGATTGATGAGAACAGTGAGATTAAATAATTTGTTCTTTTCAGTAGCTTTCCTGCTTGTTCTGCTGAAAATAAGTCTGGTAATCTCGAGATTAAATTAGGTTTAAATATATCGGATTACTGCATTGTCATAATAATAACTCTTCTTAAACACAGTGCACCCATGTTTATTTTCCTTTTAATGTTTGTTTTTGAGAAAAATATTTTCTTTTCCTTTGATTGTTTGCATTGTTTGTTTTTATGCACTTATTGGAAAATTTATTACGTCTAGTTATGTCATATGAGTAATGAGATAGTGATCATTCAGGCTCTCGTTAGGCTAATTTAATCAAACTTATTCTTTTGAATTTTTGGAGCAAAACTAAAGCCACAAGGAACTATTCAAACTTAACTAAATCTAAAATTATTATTAATGAATATTTGAAATGATAGAGAAAATCCTATTAGGATTTTATAATCAAAGGATCGGATGCGATCTATTTATACTTTAGACAAAATAAATGCACACAATATTTATTTATATCTCATCTTTGTCCTCTTGACAGTCCAGTCAGCCACTATCTATTAACAATAACAAATATTATTTCTATATCTATAAATAAGAGACTACTAGATTTGTGGGTCCCACGTACGAGGGCCATGTAAATACTAATGAACCTTCTACGTAAAATGACGTAAGTTATTATCAAACCATCGAATGGTCTAAAGCTTCCATTAATTCTTGACCAAAAACCGAACGCGCGTTTGGCTATACATACTAGCACTTGGCACTCCCATTTTCATTATCAAAATTAACTAAAAATTTGATCTTTTAAGAGCTCCTTTTTCCAACAATGGCAGACGAGGTTGTTTTCATGGATTTCTGGCAAAGCCCTTTGGGAATGAGAGTTAGAACCGCTTTAGTCGAGAAGGGTATTATATACTACGAGTACAAGGAAAAAGGATCCAAGAAACAAAAGTCCTTTACTCTTACAGGTGAACTCGGTCCACAAGAAAATTCCGATTCTCATCCACAATGGTAAACCCATATGTGAATCTCTTATTCAGGTTCAGTACATAAATGAGGTATGGAGCGACAAGGCTCCTTTGTTTCTCTCTGATGCTTACCAGAGAGCTCAAACCAGGTTCTAGGCTGACTATATTAACAAGAAGGTAAAACCTCCTGAATGTCTCTAATTATTTTATATTTTATTCATTTTTGTCTCTTTTGATGGTTTGACTCGCATGGTTTCTCACAAGCTTTGACTGGCATTTGCAGGTGTATGAATGTGGGATGAGGATTTGGACGACAAAAGAGGAAGAACAAGAGGCGACTAAGAAAGAGTTCATAGAAATCTTGAAGGTTTTAGAGGAAGAGCTCGGAGAGAGACCTTACTTGGGTGGGGAGAGAAGTATGTGGATGTGGCTTTGATCCCATTCTACACTTGGTTCAGTGTGTATAAGACTTTTGGGAAGATGAGCATAGAGGCTGAGTTCCCTAAGTTATTTAGTTGGGTGAAAAGGTGTTTGAAGAAGGAGGGTGTCTTAAATTCTCTGCCTAATCAAGATAAGGTATACGGCTTCATTTTGGAACTCAAGAAGGCTCTTGGGATTTGACTTTTGAGAGACTTCAAACCCTTCTTCCATTTTCTTAGGGTTCATCCTACATCTCTTGTTTAAAGGAGCTTCTACCGTTATATTGAAATAAAGAAGTCTCCTTTTTCGTGGTTTAGGTGAGAGGTTTGTCAATGTTGTGGGGAGGATATATATGTCAATTTCTTGTGTATCGTAGAGAAATTATCTTTGAATAAAAGTTTCTTTGTTTTGATATGCTAGAAATTAATATGTACATATTGGATGTATATACGCACATCTTGTCCAAAAATAAGAAAATAAGGTTGAAATAAAGTTACTTAGTACACCAAATTCCTAATTTGACCTTCAACTACTGTATTTGTCTAATCTTTTACTGTTATATTGAAATAAAGAAGTCTCATTTTTTGTAGTTTAAGTGAGAGGACTGTCAATGTTGTGGGGATGATATATATGTCAATTTCTTGTGTATCGTAGAGAAATTATCTTTGAATAAAAGTTTCTTTGTTTTGATATGCTAGAAATTAATATGTACATATTGGATGTATATACGCACCTCTTGTCCAAAAATAAGAAAATAAGGTTGAAATAAAGTTATTTAATACACCAAATTCCTAATTTGACCTTCAAATTTTTTAAATTAGATTTTTTTAATATTTTCAGTCAGTAAAATAATTATATATTCTCAAACAAAAAAAAAAAGGAAGATGAGGTGGTTTCTTTATCACCACTACTAAAATTGCTTCTTCATTATCACCATCACTAGAATAGTTTTATTGCCTTTTATCTATTTAATTTTTTTAAAAAAAAAAAATTGGCTCTACACTTTCTCAGTTTCAACCATGGCAGATGAAATAGTTTGACAAATATCTAAAGGCTCCGCATCAACATAGTAATAAAACTTACTTGTAAGTTGAAGTAAATTGAATAAAGACTCTGAATTTTATAAAAATAATGAATGCAAAATATTTGATTTACAATAATTTATCAAAAAATAGATAATTGTTTTGTCGCTATAAGAACGTGATCATTATCAATTATATTGAAGGATTCATCGTGTTATTTTGCAGTAGTAAGTTCATATTTTGATTCATCTGTAATTTTATACTACTGTTTTCTTTCAGTTACAATTCTTTAATGATTTGTGTTCAATTGTGCATAGATAAATATAATTGTTTAAAAGCTAAAATAGACTCTTGTGTTATATATTGCTGGTGAATATAAAAAGGTGAACGGTATGTTGAAATAAAAATTTCAAGTTTCATTTTATTGATTCAATAAAGAATTTTAGATCAGAACAAGCTGTTGTAGTAGGTTCATATCAAACTTTTGATTTCCAGCGTGAAGAATCTTGCGTTAAAATCGAATGTGATGGGTTAAGTTATAGCAATTGTGGTGGTTTTAGTATTGGTAAAGTTTTATTATTGAACATAAAGTTATTGTATTGGTAAAATATTGTAGGGAGAGACTCTATGTAACTGTTAGAAATTAGAAATCGGTATCTTAATGTGTAATCTTATTATTTATTAAAATTTATCAAGAAAACTATGATAGAAAGACGAAAAAATACTTCAAATTTCTAAAAAAGAACAAAGCATGCTCACTATGGGAGAATTCTAAAAAAATACAAAAGTATTTATACCTTGAGCAAACTAAGAGAAGGTAATAGTAGTATGCTCGTATCTCATCATTCTCTGCATGCATTTAATAAAACGTGGTATTTGGGTCTCCCGTGTACTGCGGGTTTAGGCATTCGACGTATTCCTTTCAGCCCAATATCCATTAACAAGAACAAAAATCTATTTCTACAAGTATATAAAGGGAATATTGGGCCTAGAACTGTACAACCTTCTACCTAAGGTGACGTAAGCAATTATCTAAACATCGAAGGGCCTAGAACTTCCACCATAAACCTACAATGTTTTTTGACCAAAGCGCGTTAGGCTATATATACCAGCACTTGGCACTCCCATTTTCATTATCCAAATCAACTAAAGATTTTATCTTTTAGGAGCTCCGTTTTACAACAATGGCGGACGAGGTTGTTCTCTTGGATTTCTGGCCAAGCCCTTTTGGAATGAGAATCAGAATCGCTTTAGCCGAGAAGGGTATTCACTACGAGTACAAGGAAGAGAATCTGAGAAACAAGAGTCCCTTACTCCTGCAGATGAACCCGGTACACAAGAAAATCCCGGTTCTCATCCACAATGGTAAACCCATCTGTGAGTCTTTGATCCAGATTCAGTACATAGATGAGGTATGGAGCGACAAGGCTCCTCTGCTTCCCTCTGATCCTTATCAGAGAGCTCAAGCCAGGTTCTGGGCTGACTATGTTGACAAGAAGGTAAAACCCCTATGTTGTTTTCCTTTTACGTCGCTTATGATGGTTTGACTTGTATGGTTTCTCATAAGCTTTGACTTGCATTTGCAGATGTATGAAGCTGGGAGGAGAGTTTGGACGACTAAAGGGGAAGAACAGGAGGGGGCCAAGAAAGAGTTCATAGAAATCTTGAAGACTTTGGAGGGAGAACTTGGGGAGAAGCCTTATTTTGGTGGGGAAAGTTTTGGGTATGTGGATTTGACTTTTATCCCATTCTACACTTGGTTCAGTGTGTATGAAAGTTTTGGGAAGATGAGCATAGAGGCAGAATGCCCCAAGTTGTTTAGTTGGGTGAAAAGGTGTTTGGAGAAGGAGAGTGTTTCAAAATCTCTGCCTGATCAAGATAAGGTATACGGCTTCGTTTTGGAACTCAGGAAGGCTCTTGGGATTTGAGTTTTTTGAGAGACTTCAAAATCCTTGTTCCATTTCCATTAGGGTTCGTCCTCCAAGTATTGATTAAAAAAGGTTCTGGATCAACTACTTTATTTGTCTAGTCTTTTACTGTTGTATTGGAATAAAGGGGTGTCCTTTTGTGGATTAGGTGAGATTTCTATCAATATTGTGGTGACGTCAATTTCTTGTGTGTTGTAGGCAAATCATATTTGAATAAAATCTTTCTTTCATATGTATGTTAGAAATGTATAGATATAATGGGTGTGTTTTTTTTTTTTAAATAAGAAATATATAATTATATTAAAAAGGCACCAAGGAGTACCACTCATTTATAAAATATTTATAAATCTGTTAATAATATTAAAATAATGTAATCATTTACCTATAATTTTTTTCACTCTCTTTTTTATCTATCTTTATATATATATATATATTTATTTATTTATTTTTTTTTTTTTTGCACGTCTCCTCCCATGTTCATATCTCATTCCCCACGTATTCCCTAATCACTCAATTCCTCTAAAAGACTATATACGGTAGTACAAATATCGTATACTACCGGATGCACCTTAGAAAAATGTGATACCTACCTCTTATCCAAAAAGAAGAAAACAAGGTTGAACATAAAGCTCCTGACTTGACCTTTTCTAAACCATTATTGATTCTTCCAATATTTTCAGTCCGCAAAATAATCACCTGTTCTCAAACCCACAAGAAATGGAAGATGAGGTGCTTTTTATCATCACCACTTTGAAAATTGCTTCCTTACTATCAGAATAGTTTTACTGGTTTTTATCTGTTAAATCTTTTTTTTTAATTCAACCTTTAGCTGTGAACTTTCTTGGCTTCAACAATGGCGAATGAGGTAGTTCTCCTGGATTTCTGGCCAAGCCCTTTTGGCATGAGGGTCTGAATCGCTTTCGCTGAGAAGGGCATCCAAATACGAGCTTAAGGAGGGAGACCTGGTTAAGAACAAGGCCCATCTGCTGCTCTGCTTCCCTCTGATCCTTACCAAAGAGCCCAAGCTAGGTTCTGGCTGATTATGCTGAAAAGAAGGTAAACACAGATTTGTCGTTCACTACCATGATCTCAGACAATTAGCTTTGGCTATTTTTAACCTTACTTTGTACTGGGTTATACATATGTGTGGGTGAGTGAAGGTATATGACACTGAGAGGAGAGTTTGGAGGGGTGAAGGAGAAGAACAGGAAAGTGGGAAAGAGAGAGAAAAACAGAGAGACCAGAAATTAATTAATGGTTAGTAATTTAATTTCTTTCTTCACCAGCTCACCGTCAATTGTGGCCCTCCACTTCACCTGCTCCTTACTTTTCCCTGTTTTATTTCGTTTTTTCAAACCTCACTCTTCCTCTCTGGGAAACAGGAGGAAGAATAGTCAAGACCTTAAACGATACCGTTTTGCCTCTTGGATTGTGAGTGGGCTTTTGGTATTTCTGGGCTGAGAATGTTTATTTCGAGTTTAAATGGGCACGTTTGTTTTGCTTTGGGCTGAGGCTTTTAATCTACAAGTTCCTTGTCTTACTAATAATTCCAATTCAATTAAAACAAGTACATCAATCAAGTTAAATTATCAACTAAAGATCACATAATTTTCTTATTCGTCAAAACTAATTCAAATATATATATTTATTAATATTACGCAGAAATTTTTTTTTTTTTTTACTCGAATTATCTAATTGGTTGGTCATCCTATTTCTTACAGGTGCATTCAAAAATTTGTCACAAATAATATTTTCTAAATTTAAAATAAACTAAACTAGTAGGTTTAAGCACAAAATATATATTATAGTATATATTCAAGAACGTAAATCATAACGCAATCTTGATACCATTTAAGGAGAGTTTATCTGAAGGAGTATCATTGATAGAAACCTGTTTCTGTGTAAATTGATTATAACAATTAGATAAAATAATTTGTTTCTTTTCAACAACTTTCGTGTTTGTGTTTATATCTGTTGATTTTGAGATTAAATAAGATTTAAATTTGTTGGATTACTGCGTTGTTGTAACAATAACCAGCTTCTTAAACGCACCACACCCACGTTTTGTTTTTATATATTTAATGGAAAATTCATTATATAACACGAGTGATGAGATGGTGATCCTTCATGCTCTCATCAAGCTAATTTAATTAAACTTCAAATTTAACTAAATCCAACACTAGAAAAACAAAATTCCTAGTAATACAAATTACTATTAATGAATATTTGAAGGCCCCACATCAATTAAACTAATCTTAATTCCAATTACTTGTGAGTTGAAGTAAGTTGGAGAGAGTCTTTGAATTTGATGAAGAAAGTGAAGGAACAATATACTGAATATTGTAATTTGTCAAACTTATCGATGATGGTTTTGTTGTTGCAAAAACATGATCATCGTCAATTACATCAGAGGATCCATTGTATTATTTTTGCATTGATAAGTTTATGTTTTGATTTATTTGCATTTGTGTACTATTATTTTCTTTTAATCTCAAAGTCCTTAGTGATATATGTTTGATGATGCATAGATAAATACGATCATTTAAAGAATAAAAACGGACTCTTATATTATGTGTTGCGGTGAATATGAGAAATGAAATATATGTTGAAATCAAGATCACGAGTTTAGTATTGGTAGAGTTTCATTCTTGTCAACATAAATCGTTGTGTCGGTAAGATATTTGAGTGTCGTGATCGATATTCTTCTTGAACAAGGGTTATAACTCAATTACATTTGCTTGTTGAGAGCCAACAATCCCAAAGAGAAAATTTTATTAGAATGTTTAGTTAACTATTGGAATGAGAATTCTGAAAATATTGAGAAAACAAA